ACACACATCCATCACTATAACTATCTCACCATTGGAGGACACCGGTGGTCCTCAGACTCACAATCATAGAGGTCTGGCGCGGTAGGAAAGCAGTGAACCCAAGTGTCCAATGCATCGGTCTTCGGGTGCGGGCGGGACGGAGGGCAGTGCATGGGAGGACGCCTGGGGCGGAAGGGCATCTTGGCGTCGGCCCAGGCCACTGCCGAGGACGGACGGGCTGGCCCAGAAGGTAATTTCCGGGCTCTGTGGGCAGTAATCCCGAGCGACCCGTCCTGACCATAGTCCGGACCACGGGTCGACAGTCCCGTCAGTCCGGCCTTGATTTTGAAAAGTCTGGGTCAATCCGGTCGAAATTTTCAGTGGCCGCCAAAGCCCGGCGGCGCCCAGGCAACCGCCGGGTGGTGTCTCGGCGCAAGACCTGTCAAAGCCGCCAGATTCCCAGGTAAATCTGAAGATATCTATTGACGACCTGCGGTCTCCCCATTTCAAATTACTCGGAATAGGATAATAGTAGCAACACGCCCCCGGCGCTATATCCCGCTTAAGACAAATCTACGTCATCCACCGATGAACCACCATGATACCCAAATACGCTGTCCAACCTCCAAGACACTCTACACCATTCTTCACACAACTCTCTAAATACCTTGGGCGAATACGTATTGGCCGAGTGACTTTGTAGAAAATTAATCCTGTTGAATGATGAAATATTGAAAAACATTTCAATCTCTCGAAATGTCGACCGGAAGGCGACCAGGCTGGGCCCGACGTTGGTTTTAAAAAACCTCCTAGCTATTGCGAACCAACGAGGTAGTTTGTGAATTGATAATTTATAAGCGAAAGAGAGGATAAAATTTCAGGACTACCGGTATCCCGGAGTGAAAAGATTGCTGGTGGATCCATTACCATAACAAAATAAACTGTCTTGAAAGATTTGGAACAAGTGATATATCGAGATGATGAAGCCTAGAATATCTTGCAATGGATGTTTCGCAAGAAATACTCATGCCAAGGTTGTGGTTGGCCGCCACAACCCACGAATGATCGATAGCTCGTAACTGTGGGCGCTGCTCCAGAGTGCCCGACAGCTCAACGCAACCCTGCGGCTCACCATAGTAACAGTGTAGCTCAAAATCACTTTGCGGCTCAACACAATTTTATGGCTTTGTCTCTTTTTAGATACAGAGTTCCATTCAGCTGCCTGATACAAAGTGACCATATCTCCTTTCGTTCGACAATCAATTTTGGGATAGAAATGTTTACGGAAAAGACTGGGCACCAAGCCGCGCAGTGGTGAGCCACAAAGCGAGTTGAGGCGCACTGTTACCACTGGTATAGTGAGCCACAATATTAGGCTGAGCCACAAAGTCGCGTTTAGCATGTGTAGGTTGTGACGGCTAACCACAATCTTGCCACGAGTCTCCCCATGAATATGATTTTTTTCATCACCAAAGCTCGGTTGGTGTCCCTATGGCTACAGCAACGACACCAGCGTCCTCCCCCGGAAAACATCCCGTTTGGTGAAGAAAAGAAAAAAAAAAAAAAAAAAAAAACACAGAGGAAATCCAATAGTGTTCACCCATTAATTCAAGTTGAACTCTCCCGAACCTGTACGGAGGACACAACCCAAGAAATCATGGAGATGTAGGACTAGCAGTAATTTAATATCATCCCCGGGCAGGAAGCACTTGGTCCGAGATTCGGTAGTGGTATTTCGAGAAAACCGGGTATCATATCGAGGACTACAATTGCTCTATGAGCCGGTTTACCACCCCATAAGACCTCTAAACACCCGATATGGTGTTGAAATTGCCAAGGTTGTATGTTCCTAGACTTTCATACCCCCACAAAGTGGTCCTCTCTCTGCTCTAATTAAAAAAAAACAAAAAAAACAATTAATTTCGTGGGAACCCCTTCGGGTCTGTTGGGATACAACTGTTTCGTTTCGTTTCCTTTCCGTTCCGTTTAACAATCTCTTTGTTTGTTTGTTTTTTACTGTTGAAACTGTCGCGAAACGGAACGGAATGGTTGTATCCAAAGAGACCCATTACTGTGCCGCAATGGGGCGAGGGAAATACTTACCGATTCTCTACCCGCTATTGTCTTCCGATAGTGTTCTAGTAGGATAATGGTTCCGACCGATGTCAGAACTTGCTCTACTGTTTCCAACCCCACGGTTTGCCGTTGATCCCGGCACTAGGACCTATTCCCGGCCCGGCGCTGTCAAGGTAAACAATCAGCATACGGTACTCGAGTATTGAAAGTGCCACCAGAACCGGAACAAACAAGAACCTCGCTTGGATGATGTATTACCCTACAGCGGTAATCTCTGTTTCCTTTCTATTTTTTATTTATCTCGCACGGGGGGGCACTTCCGCTTGATCCAAATTGTGAGATCCTAGACCTCCGAGAGCGCCATCTTCAGTTCCCGCGATCATTACGGTTCGCTGTTCCATCCATTCAACACATACCCGGTAAGTATTTGTGTTAGACTGAAGCGCAGCCACAGTCGCCAATCATTCGATAAGAACAATTATGTGTTGCAAGTACAGATCTTATGCCTGCCGATTATATCACTGTAGGAACTGGAACAATGGGGCCATGTGCTTTGCAGTGCAAAAATTTCTCCTCGGGAAAAGGTGGGGAAAAAAAGGGGGGGGAAACACCAGACCTTACCGGGACCGGTAGCCCCAGCATCCTGGCGAGAGGTCCGATTGTTCGATTTCTTACGATAATGATGCCGGGCGAAAACTGCTGGAATTCCCTTGTTTTGTTACTGCGAGGCAGGTGCACCGTGGTCCGGAGTAGGAGTACAGTACAAGTACTGTACAGTACTGTACACCTCCCGCCAAGAAGATCTATATTGCCAACCCAAAATACTCGACAATATATCCGATTGAAATTAGCCGAAACCGCGGACCAAACATTTGCTCACTGCGCTCTCACCAAAATCCAGATCGTAACTAATCCACCTTCCCATCTCTCGGTGTCATATACGGTACACTTGTACAATCCCCCACACTCCCCAGAATCCAGGACAACAAAATCAAATTGTCCACGATGCGGAAGTCAACACTGAAACAACCAGGCACTTTATCCCCAGCAACACCAGCCATAGCGGGGTTCGCCGGCGCCACTACGCCACACGACTTTCCTATTTGGTACGATACTGGCATCAGACTTCCTCCCTGACCCTACCTAACCTCTTCCACTCAGCCGCAGAAACCAAGACGAAAGCGATGGCACTAATAAGTTGCTACAAGGAATAGTAACATCTGTACGAGTACAGTACTTGTACAGTCCAATCATTAGCCAGTCCTCCCCTCAATCCAAACCGAGATGGTGAGTTTCCACCACGGTCGGAAAATAATTCACTACTACGGAGCGCAAGAAATTCACCGGTTTCCTCCCCCCGTATTGCACAAGGCTCCCGGTCGGGCGATAGAATGCGGTTCGGCCAGACATCTTTTTTGATGGTCGTCAAAGGTGGGCAAAAGTACGAAGGAAAAAGGTATCGGGGCACTAGCTGAAATCAAAAGCATTCGGACACCTTGGCGCGAAGCCCCATACAAATTCGCGGTGTGTGTCCGAATACTTTTGAAATAGGCTAGCACAGTACTCGGGAATGGACGTAAGTGATGGGACGGACGGGGTTGTTAAGTCCGGGCGCAGTTACCGCCACAAGGAAAAATTGCTTTAATTTGGTGGGTGCGATGGCAGGAATTGTACTGTGGGAAGCTTAACATTGTCGAGCCCCTGTCCGTCCCATCACCTACGTCCATGCTCTAGTACGGTGGCCAAGCCACGCGTTCGACAGCACTGAAATAGCCACCAACGTCGGCGATCGCAAAAATATACAATTTGTCCAACAGCTTCCATCAGATAAAGCTTACATAAAAATAAAAATAAAAATAAAAAAAATGACACAAACGCCCCCAGATCTTCCTCCCTTCCTCCCCAGGCACCGGTGCGGTTCTCAATAATCCACATATTCAAGCGTAACCCGGCTGGAGCAATGGCAGCGCGTCAGACTTCCACACTCGAGTAGTACCATATTCAGGACAGATGAAAGTTGTGGGCTCGACCCCGCGTTGGGTTTATTTTTTTGCTTTGCTGTTAGTTTTTCATGAAACCGGTACGGTAGTTCTTCTCCCGCTTCCCCCAAGGTCCGAAAGTGCTTCTTTCCACGGGTACGGTTCCCAGCACTTCATTGACATATGCAGTAATTCAGGGTGGCTGATTGAGCAGTCGATCGCTTCCTGATGGGGCAGTAGCATGCGAGATGTTCCTGATCGGGTGGTTGTGATACCAGGATTGTTGACACCGGTACTTGGTTCGGTTCGCCTCATGCCAGTTCACTCCTGGGTCGGTGCCCCATACAAACTAAGTATCAACCTGGCTCCTGCACGAGTTAATGTTTTAAAAATCCCTTTGGTGGGTCTCTAGAGAGCGATAACTTGAACATATTCGCTCAAGATCTCGTGTAAATAGGTCGCGGTTGTTCGGCCACACGGGTTGGGAGTTTGCGATATTATGGGTTGGCAATATTTTTGGCTGGTTGAGATTTTGTTTTGTGGTCTGATTTGTGGTGCGCGGGACCATATTTGTCATGGATTTTTATGGGGTCAGGAATGATGGATGGGATATGACGCTGGTGGGTGATGGATGTACAGTACAGTTTCAAGTGCCAAAGCCATAACATTCCATGGGTCAGCAGGGCGCGATGTGGCATAAGTCGAGGTCATCCGAGTCGTTTCGAAATTTCCGTAGCTTTTCCATCAGGATCAGGGATGCTTCCCACCACGATGTCTGTGTTACTCTGCTCTAGGTTACCGCTGTTGGTTGCCGTTGCTTCTCTTCTCATGTTGCGCCACCCACCAACCGCAGGTACCGCAATGTGCCACGCGACAGGCTGTCATGTTCACTTAACCAATATCTTGGTCTGGCGACACCCTTCCAACACTCAGATCACCAATGGCGGGAACCTAGTAAATTGCACGCACTGAACGAGTACTGTACAGCACTCCACACATCAAGTGTGATAAGTGAACCATTAAATTATATCCATCCATCTACCCACCACCGACAACCTCTAGCAAACACGCAAAAAAAGGCAGCAGACCACTCCATCATCCATTATTCTACTTCCCAAACCACTCTCGGACCAACCGAAGGTCCATCACACAAACTTTCAAGCCTGATTGTTTCGCGCGATTTTGCAGTGAAACTTTGGCCGCGATAACCTCCACCCGATCGCCCATTCCTCCCAGAGTTTGTAGGTCCTGTAATAACTCCACAAACTCCGCCATTTCAAGTATGGCAAGGTTGTCCAACTCCGACACGTAGTGTGGTTCACGGACGACCCGCCAAAAGCGATAAGTCGCCGTGAGGATTCGGAGATTTTGCGCCCGAGTAAGTATAGGCGCGCCGTAGCCATCCGTAAATCCGAGCGTTTCCAAAAGCGAGCATCTCCAGACGTCAACTAGTTTTTGGCAAGTTGACCGGGTATGTAGAAGTTCGGTGGCCTCGGCTATCCCAATTGCTGCCGGGGGTGTTGGTTCTGGGAGGATGGAGAGGGCTAGCGGGTATAGTTCCGCGAAATCAGATTCGGCTACGGAAGAGCATATTGTTGTTGGGTTCGCGTGGAGGACGTTATTGAAGCGTGGGTGAGCAAGGGTTAAAGAGTGTAGTGTCGCGAAGTCCGGGAGCAACTGCAGGATTTCGACGAGGAGCTCTGGAGGGAGGATGATAAGTTGTGTCGCCATTTCGTGGTTTTTGGTATCGCCTCCGTGGATGTTTGCAAAGGTAAAGCGAGGAAAGGAAAATAGGGGATAGAGATAAAATCCATGGCTCTGTGAGGATTAGAATCGGGGTATAAGGGTTTGTATCGCGTGCCGCCCATCCGCTTCCGTCGACGTTAAATACCGTAGTCAGCACAGGCATGAGCGCGGTGTATCATCTAGACCATGGATTAGTTGTTCATTTTGTGAAGCCAGCAGACAACCAGGGGGAGCCCGTAAACACGTGCGGAGAGATCAGGCAACAACTGAATCAAGGAATACTGGTAATGTTTTGTTCAGAGTCGGAAGAATAGTTCTCATAATTCCCGTGCCGTAGATGCATCTGGGCAGTGGTGAATATTGGCCAAGTCAAGATTCAACTTTCCCAGGTGTAAACTAACCCACCAACAAGGTCGAACGGAGCCAGCTTCACACCCAAGATGCATTCTCTTGAAGCACCAGTATCCTGTAGGCGACTATTTTTCTTAACTCGTGACAGCAGAAACCTGCAAGGAATTCGATGTCTCGGAGCAGCTGCGGTGAGCGATTGAAGACCTATCGCAGGTTTGAGCTGCAAGGCACACATCGTATCGACCGCGGGAGTCGGGAGTAGGATCTCTTCGCTCCTCACATTTATCTATCTAGGAGCTCAACCAGCCCGCTAGTGGAGATAAGACGAACATTAATTAATTTTCCATATTAATCGGGACAATTGTGATCACGATCAATTACCGCTTGTGTACGAGTACTAGCACAGAACAGCATTCGATGACCAATTACGGTAGAGGATGAACCATTCGCCAAGTCTTGATACACAAAGCACTTTTGCCGAGCGGACGAGCCCCAGAAAGGAATCCCTTGCAGTACGTGTCAACCTCCCCCTCAACAAGCTCAGAATAAAATCCTCGTAGGTCGCGTATCCAGAGAGCATGTTGCAGGCCGCCTTGCTATGCCAATACATCTTTGCCGGAAGGCTGCTTCGGTTGGCACACGGTTCTCCGGATGATAAAAGCCAGGTCAGTGCCACCCCTATCGGTAGTGAAGGGATTGTGTTGACGTTGTTTCTTTCCTTAAGGCGAAATAGGATTCGCATCGTTGGCAGTACCGTGGAATCCTCGAGTATAATAGTATCGGCGGTCGATTGATACGATAACTCTTCCCACCATCCACGGGCACCGAGATCTATGAGTGATACTAAATTTCTGTTTGCTAGTCACGGAAATCTAGGTTCAGGGTGACATCTCCACGATCCAAGCTATTATAGAAGCGAGTGCATACCTTCGGAAGCGCGGTTTATTCCTGAAAGACTGAAAAATTCAATCAAATTTAATCATCCTAGTCGTGCCGATCAGAATAACTTAGGGGGGGATTGTTTCGTTGACAGTAAATACGGTCTCTCCGAAAAGAAAAGAAAAGAAAAGAAACCACCCATGACAGGGGGAGTCAAAAATCATTTGTTGGGACCGGGTGGGTGAACGGGGGCAAATGCTCATGTTCTCTGTGATACTCGTAGAGTGTATCTTGAGCACTTCAGGTGTGCTCGAAAATACTCTGTCCAGCTCTCACCTAGCTTACAAATCCTGACCCACACTTCGGTTACCGGCATATGTAGTGTCACGTGCTAGAACAACCTCGCATCTACACACCTATGATACTGTACCTTACTTTAGTCCCATACTGACCTCCGAAATTGGGAACCCGTGTTCTGTTGCCGCCGATCACTCAAATACACTGCGTTAGGGAAGATAGACCAAAAGTAAACTATTGATTGGCCAAGACTCCTGAAATATCATTTCAGCCTTCTACCGAACACCACCGACTATCTATGCCGGTACCCGCTCTCACGAGAAACTCTCCAATAATGAGGTATTTGAGGGCAGGGATTTGCGGAATACAGTATATGACAAAATTCGTGCGTATCGCACACTCATGATTCACATTTTCCCATACTTCGTGCCCAGAGCAAGTATACCCCTACACGAGAAGCTGAAAAAAGAGTGAATGGTTCATACTCAAAGGCTGTATGAACCACTGGAACCTACGCTATGCGCTAGCACGGAGAACCTAGCGTTTATCCGCCGGTGATGCCCAGGAGTTACATTTCTCGAAGCTCGGAGTCTGATATCGGACTTGGGTGTTAGTGAACGTTGCCCTCATCTCGCTGATAATGTCTAGGGAGCATCGGTTATTCTCGAATTTGTAGTGTCAGGGAGATGGAGGGAATGTTTGTTGTTGTTGTTTATAATAGGTCTTATGCTTCCGACCTGTGCCGGTGGTTAAAGCAAAGTGGGGCGCGGTAGTCGGAACAGGTGACTGAAAGGCGGGGGAGTCTTAGCCGGGTAGCTAGCATTACAATTAATTTCTCTCGTTTCTTTAGGTGGTCTTCGTGCTGATTGGAAGGGTGAGTTTGGATCGGTGCTCAATACAGTACCCGCACTCAGCCCACTCAGCCTGTGTCAATTTGCAGACCGAGTGTAACTCAAGCCTTTCTGGAGAAATGTACTGTACTTGGTGTTGCTCTCCCAGAATACGAGGCGATGATCATGATTCACAACCACGGTATCGTTGACAAAAGAGATGGGGGGATCTGCGCCGGTTGTACCGCCAGCCTTGTGATCCTGCCATGTGGACGCCGGGTCGGCGAACAAGGGTAATATATATCAAACTCCATGTGGTCAATTCTTGGGAGTGGGGTCACTTGCGGGTTCAACTGATCCGTCACTATTGTACTCGTACATAACGCGTGGTTCATGCCGGAAGTTCAGGGCCACTGAGACAAAGAACATGTTGTTCGAGAACTTCTATAATTGGTATCCAATATTTGAAACATTTGCGGAAAGGACAAGGAAGCATCTACTGAACACTTCTAGCAACCCCCCCCCCCATAAAAGATTACAAATTGTTCCCAAAAATTCTAAACTAGCCAGCCAGTCTCTCCAGTCCTGTTCACTTTCAACTCGGCGAAAAATATTTTAATAAAATGAGAGAAATCATGTAGGAAAATATTTGTATTAAAACGCGAAACTAAAATGAGAAACATAAGCCGGGTTGTCCACCCAATGACTTGTAAAAAGAGAGAAAAATTAGGAAATCTATGAAAAGCAAAGTGAAAAAAGAATGTATCAAATTGTGTAAAAAAAAGAGGTGAACCGGATATCTGGTAAAATCTTTTAGAAGTAGTACCCACGAATACCCCTCTTGGCGATTTTCCCCGCGGTGCATGTCGTCCCGGCAGCGAGACTACCCATGAACTGCTTGCGGCCCGAACCGCACATGTACCACGTTCCATTTTCGCCGCACGTGATTTCCCCCTCAGTCGTGCAAGCCTCGACCGGCGTGGCGCCAGTTTGTTGGGGAGGGGAGAGGCGAATTGTGGACGCCATAAGTGTAGTCGGGATGCTTGGTATGGGTGTCTGAGCTAGCGCTTCGCTTGTGGCGGTGGGCATAGGTTCCACTGGAATATTAGTAGCAAGCACCGCCTCATTACCGGTGCCATTCCCCTCAGGTGCAGAAGGTGAAGGAGCAGGACCGCCGGTAGTAGCAGGAGGTTCTATAATATTTCCCTCTGGAGGCTGAGCCCCCGCTCCGTTTCCAGAATTTCCCGCTCCCGTCTGGGCGGATTGCGAAGGAGCAGGACTGCTGGTGTTGGTGGGCGCAATCGTGTTTCCGACCGAGGGCTTGGTATCCGCCGCTGGCCCAGAAGCCCCTGCTCCACTCGGGGCAGATCCACCGCTACCAGCCCCCTTAGAAGAAGGTTCTCCGCAGGGAACAGGGGTGATCCCCGTCCCGAAAACCTCGGGGCCGGGATTCTTGAAATCTATCGCGCTAGTTTGCTCTGGAACGAGGCACCCTCCACCAATGTTTGCCTTGAACATGCCCGGCAGGGCCTCAAAAACACTCATCGATGTTTCCTCCCCGCCGATGACAACCGTAGCACACTTCATATACATCTCGCGGTTGCCAATACGATTGAACCAAGTCCAGGCAACAACAGCCTTTCCCTTCGGCAATCCCTTGGGCACGGTGAAGCTAAGAGGGTTTAGCTTCCAAAGCTCGAGTTCGGACTTCAAACCCTGGGGATCTCGATCTGCCGGGCCCAAGTTTCCAGCGGCCTTGATAGGGTGGTCACCCATATAGCTGGTCATTACACGGAAGACGGTATTCTTGGTTGGCTTTGTTTCGTAAGTGATGACCATTTGTCCGCTGCCACCGCCGTGGACCGCTGAACCCTTGATCTTTAGCGGATGGGAGGTGCCTGGGAGGTATGTTGCCACTGGGGCTTCTGGTGCGACGCCGTGGCAGGGGAAGTTGCTGCCGTCGCCCTGGAGTGGGTTGAGATTTCCGTCGGACTTCTCGACAGTAGCCCGGACCACCTCAGGGACATTCCATTGTTTGGGTTCAAACATTGTGACATGGGCGGTGACGGTGTGAAGAAGGACTGCGAACCAGAGAATAATTTTCTGATTCATGATTTTTTTTTTCCTTGTTATTATTAGTTGGACTGACTGGGGCAGTTGGGTGGTTTATGAATGAAGGTTGTTGAGAGGAAGTCTCTGAATGAGCGAATGAATAAATGAGTAAGCGCGAGAAATGGTGTATCAGATTTTTGAGTTGTGTTATAGGGCTTGGAGAGGTCGCGTTTGTGCGGCAATTTATACTGGTCAAACGTAGGGTGTTCTGGGTTGTTATGGAATCTTGAATTAATTGTATGGTCGCAGTGGAGTATGAGAGAAGGGCACCGACCTCCTTTGAAACGTGTAGGAAAGCTTATTTCGTTCGAGACAACAACCATACAATGATCAAGATCCAAAAGACGGGTTTGGTTTTCCTGTAACGGGTTTCAAAGTTGTTTCTTTTTCTTAGGTTCTGTTTGAATACAATGGTTCCGTCCAACTTGGCGACCGTTTCGGCTGCAAAAATAATGGCCAAACTCGGAAAAATGGTCAATTTGAATGGGTCAACGGAACGAAAACTTTGTATCCAAATTGAGCTTCACGGTGCGCCTGCACTACGGCCATGATTGGGATTATTGCTTGCGGCCGGTCAATTACTTGAGCATGTTTGTCGCAAATGGGATAGTTTGTGATTCAAATTTTCGGTCACGGTTCAACCTGCAAGTTACCTAACAAATATCATAACAGCCGGAAAGGTAGTCGCTAGGTTGATATCAATTTCTTTGCGCTTTCTGTTTAAAGAGATTCAAGCTTGGGAAAACCATGGGCTTTTAAGAAGAGTTTTACTTTTTCTTCTACGGCAGCTGGCCAAAACGGCCTCAATGTTTGTTAAATATCGAATCTCTCCCTCTCTGACTGAAGGGACTGTTGAAATCTATATACGTATAGCAAATAGCCTACTGGATGCTGAGATTCAAACTGAAATACATTTGGAGGCATGTACGTTGACTATTGGTATTCAAAATACTAGTTACCCTTCAAAACGGCCAATTCAAAATATACGAAAACAGTGGGCTAGGCAGTTAATTGATGCCGGAGAGAAGAGGGGGCAAAAGGATTTACTAGGCAAGGGACATGAAGAAAGGCTGGTTGATGAATTTTAAATTTCCCTCAACCCAACTGAGGGTTTCTCCATCAAATCATTCCCGGTATGATATATGAGAACCTGAGAATCGCAAAACCAACCAGAGATTCGGAATAATGGGACAGGTCATTCTTTGCCAAAATTGCTAACCACCATACTCCTAGAATTCAGGGCAAGGATAGAGAGGCATATCTATAATTCTTTACAATCACATCTCCATGCTATATAAACCCACCCATTGTGCCAGCCTCCGGATGCTGGATCCAAACAGATCACCCACACTTACCATCGTAACCGATGAGCAGAAATCTGGACATAATGATGCCTTTTGGCCACTCCGAGCTCAAACCCGGTGCGGCGCGTACAAGGAAAACTACTCCTAACTAAAAAAGCGCAATGTTAAACCGTTTCATTAAATCTTGCAGCAAGAGGGGTAAGAGAGGTAGGTAGGAAAAACAAGGTTTTCACAACTTATTGAACTGGGTTTTAGATCTAAGAAGGGAGAAAATGTGGTTCGTAAGTATATTCTCAAATATTCTATTTAGAAAATGACAATAATCCGAAAGCGTAGAGCCACGAATTGCACCAAGTATGACATAGGCTTCACAAGCGACCACAGCCCATACCCGAAACTAGTTTTGACATGCTGGCTAGCGATTCCTCTGTTCCTAACTTTAAAAACCGAAAGCAGGAGTCTGGGGCTCTGGTAACCGGCTATTGCTAACTTGTAAACAAGATATAGAATCTGTGGATTCTCGTGCGGTAAGAAACCGGTCCCGGGGAAGAATGCACGTAATTCGTTTGTGAAGGTTGGAGTTAATTGGGTTTGACTCGGGCTCGCTACCTAACAATATACGGTGAGCTGATTGTGAAATTATTCAGTATTCCCAACCGCCCGGGTCGATTGGGACTGCAGGACACTTTGTCTCTGTTTCCCGAAGACGGCCGTCCTAGGGGTTGACGCCCTGTCCCTACAGTCTTAGTACAAATAACATTTTCCCGGAGATATAGTATCTGCAGGGGCAGCAGGCTCCGGTCGTCACCTCTAAGAACCTGACACATCTCACTTCTCGAAAAAACTGCGGGACAAACCCGTCAGTCTCTCCAGGGCATTCTACCATGCACTGCCGTCTGTCCCCTTCAGCACCCGAAGACGGACGGACTGGACACTTGGTTGCACCGACATTAGTTATGTCCAGAACTGCTGAATCTACATACTTTTCCCGGAGCACCACAATCACAGAACATTCCTCTCGCGTTAAATTCTAGAAAATCTGTTGCATAGCCGAAAAAAATTACTCTATCAGGTTTTTGTTGTTGCTATTTGGTTGTTCCTTATTATGGGTATAAAGGTTACTATATTGCATGCGACAGCACAATACTTTAATGGATGACGATATAGAAGATAGGGAAATTAATTTTAGAGAGTGGAATTAACTAGGGGCTAGGCATGATTAGTACACGATGAGATCATGCTCCAGTTTTGCTTGAGCAAGACCCCGATAATCTGTGCGATCATACTTCATTTTGTTGGATCAAGACTCATGAGCGATCACTCTATTTATATCTTTTCTCCTAATTGAGCGATATGATCTATTGATACCAACACTCCACCTTCCGCGCTGGCAAATATTCTCAACGAAGCTCTATGGCCTATTCTTGGCATTTCCCTCTGAAATTGCCCATCCTTCGACATATTAGCCTTAGAAATCCTCATTATAAAAATGTGCCCACTTTCGTTTTCCCAGGAGGTGGTGGAAATAGCATCGGATACTGCTGGCAGACTTCTCCTTTGCACGTGATGTCGCCAAAGTGAAGGTCCTCGTTGCCGGTGTCCCGCTTGATGATACTGGTCGGGGTTCTGTCTGGTCCGTTGATGGGTGGACTGGCGATAAGGCATATGATGGCCTCCGCAACGATCTCGAGCTGGCTAATCCAGGTATTTCTGTCTCTGGCAGGCCTAACCTCCTCAGGTCCATCCATGCGATGAAGGCGGCCAAGGCTGTCGCATGTGGGGTCCGGTTTGTGGTAGACCGTAATGAGGCTTTGGAAGAGGCCCTTAAGAAGGGTAAAGTTTGTTTGAGGGGTGGTCCACGGCCTATTCGCATTTGGACCGAGCATCAACCCGCTGCTGTCTGCGGTAAGTGTCTACAAGTTGGTCACAACCAGATCACTTGTGGTTTCCCAGAGTGCTGTCGTTTTTGCCATAACAGGCACCTTTCCAAGTCCCACAAGTGTGGGCAACTTAATTGTTCGGGTATTGTAGGTGAGGCGTGTATGCATACGTGTCGATTTTGTTTGCTGTGCGAGCAATCCGACCACTTCACTGGCTACAACCAGTGCCCCGCCATCCTTGCTGCCTCCTCTGTTCCGTCCTCTCTTGCTTCGGGTGCTGCCACTCCTGTGGTTGCTGATGATACGTCAAGAAGATTTGGAGTGGCCGATAAGTCGGTCAACCGAATGATCCGCCGCCGCTGTGGTAAATCCACTACCCCCCAGTCTGACCGAATCATCCGTGATAAGGAGGCTGCCACTGCCGCAGCCAAGGGTAAGACTGTTCCCTCTTCCTCCTCTGTGGGCTCCGGCCCATCTGCTACTAAAGCCACCATTCCGGTGAGCATTTTGAAGAAGCCCGTTTCTGGTGCTTCTGGATCAGCTCAGGCCCCATTTTAATGCGGATTACAGCCTTAGCGATCAATGTGGGGGCGAGTGTTGGGAATCGGTCGCTGGCGATGGATTTGTTTTCTTATGTTGATGTGTTTTTTGTTATTGATCCCCCAGTTGGGAATGATGGTTGTCATGTTGCCCATGAGTTGGAGGGCTTTGATTTATTTTCGTTTGTTGTGGGATCGGGTGTGGAGGTTTATGTTCGTTTGGTGTTGTGTGGGTTGTTTGAGATTGGTGGACACGATATAACATGTGCAATGGTGGACTATGGGTATGAGGGTGTGGCATGTCGTGTGTGGGGGGTCTACTTTAGGCCGGGTATGGCTAAGGCAGACTTTGAGAAGGCTTGTGAGGATATGGTGGGGTGTGATGTTTTGCTGGGTGACTTTAATGCATGTCACAGATACTGGAATGCTGCCGGCAACCCGAAGGCTAATAGTCACGGGAGGTGGCTGTTCGGTTACTTGCAACAACAGCAACTCGGTATTACGCTCCCCCAACCACATACCTTTCGCAATGTTAGCACTATTGATCTCTGCTTATGGAAGGTCCGACCGAGATACCACCGATATGTTGATGCTGCCGGGTTAGAACACTGTGGGCAGATAATTCGGTGGTTAGCTGATGTTCCGGCAATGGGGATGCGACCCAGACCAGCATGGAAGAAGGCCAAGTGGAACCAGGTTGCTATAGGTCTTGATCGACTTAGGTCGCTTGGTGATGAAGAGTTGTAGGGAGGTGTTAGGAACATAGTTGATAGGCTACCTCACTGCGGCATGGGTGGGAGTCGCTGTGTATGGTGGACCGTTGAGCTTGAGAGGATGAGGAAGGATGTTCAACGCCTGCGACGGATGCGACGTGGAGATGTCGGTTCGGAGGACTATAAGTTAGCCTGGAACTTGTACAGGTGCACTCTTGTCAACGCTCGTTATGACCACATCAGAGATTGGCTAGCGGAGGCCAGGGACCCAGAGATATTTCGACTCGCCCGAGCTATCGAAACGCGAAGAACGATACCTCCTCTGGTGGACGATAATGGCATTTGTGTTCATGATCACCAGGGTGTGAGTGATCTCATCGCAGCACAACTTGACCCTGTTTCCGTGGCCCCATGGACGACAGCTCAGGTTATTGAATTAGAGCCTGCAGTGGATATTGGTATGGCAATTCGCCCGAGTCCGGGCAACACAGGGCCAGGAAT